TGAACCCAGCGGCCTCGATGAAGACCAGAAGTGCTCATCTGGCAGGGTCACATGTACCGATCCGGATGTGCTTCGGTGACTTGGGCTCTGGATATGTGACAGCGGGAGTTCGACAGAGCTGTCACAACCGACAGATTTGGGACCAAATTGGAATATGGTGGCAAACAATGACAGACAGGCGCAAAATCGCCTGAGGCAGCTTTCATCCGGTTTAGTTGTTTATCCTGGTCGATTCGGTCGAATCGTCCAGCTCGTTTGATCATCTGATTACCATTTGATCATCATTTGATCAGTCGACAACACTTCGACATTGCGCCATTTGATCGTGGAAAGTTGAAGGATTGTGGAAGCACCGCCAACTGAGTAGTGAGTGGGTCAACCTTAGACTTGAGCACTATGAGACTGCCGCTAGTAATAAACTCCCGCGCTGGGCTTTGGCCGCCAACAACATCAGGAGCGACATACCTCCCCGCGCAGCCAGTGCGGACGCCGCCTCCCCGCGCAGCTTCGCCCGGAGACCGGTCGTCGAGCGGGGGTGGATCGGAGCGCCCCTCCCCCCCCCCCCTGCCGTTCGTCAAAGGTCAACCGTCAATCAGAAGGCCGGACCGCGGCCGAGCTGTCTTGCCGACACGCCGAACAGGCTGAATTGGGAGTCATAGCATGGCACGCCGGTCTGGATCGAGAGGCATAGCATGGCACGCCGGTCTGCACCGGGCGATACAGCGCAGCACGCCGGCTTGGATCGGGCGGTATAGGGTAGCACGCCAGCCTGGACTGGGCAGTATAGCACTGCACGCCGGCCTGGATTGGGTGGTACAACAGAGCATGCCGGTCTGGATCGGGCGTTACAGCATATGTCAGTCGGCATCGGGCGGTATAGCACAGCACACCGGTCGGGATCAGGCGGTATAGCACAGCATACCGGTCGGGATCGGGCGGTATAGCACAGCACACCGGTCGGGATCGCGCGGTGTAGCCCAGCATACCAGTCTAAATTTTACCGTATGGCACAGAAGAACCCCACCACCAACTGCACCAGCGAACCTCTGCCGGCCGTATCTTTGATTTTTAAAAGTTTTGTGGCTATGGTAATTTTGGCTTATCTTTGGAGGCCGGCAATGTTGTGGGAACGGAAGTGGCATGGGAAGGTTGCCTCCTCCCCCCCCCCCCCCACCTCCACCCTCCAAATGCATGCAGAACTGAGCATATGACCGAAACCCTTGAAGTGAAGTAGTGCACCCTTCATAAACAGCACCGATGCAACATGTTCACCTCCGTGTGATTATGCGTCTGCATGCTCGTTATCGGAAAAGCCTCACGCCCCGGCGTGTAAACAACCATCCAACTGCAGGCGTCTGTGGGACATGCCTAAACGCAGGTGGGAGCAGCGACGCCATCAATCAGGATCGTCCGTGACCTTGGCAGAGTCCCGCAGGACTGCGCCCCTCGACAGGTGCTCTCGAGAATAAGCTGCGCATGCAAACCTTGTATGCATAATCCAGCGCATCCTGCTTGACATGATAGCAACGCTGGAATCCGGCATTGCCATTCTTTTCAAGAGTGCTTCTGTTCACGTAAGCTGCTTTCCTCGTCTTCAGCTGGCGCGGACGTCAATTTCGTCCCCAGTTACATCCGCTTTCCCCGCGGCTCAGAGACTGTTGGCACGACCGCAGCAGCAGGCGGAGAGCCCCGTCTTCCTTCTCGCCCGTACTCAGAGCCCCGTCTTCCTTCTCGCCCGTACCCATCAGTACATTTTAATCTGAGCAGCTGGTGCAACTTGGAGGTCGAATGATTAAAAATCTTGTCAAATCTTCGACAGAGAAGTTGAATATCAATCCAAGGCCAAAGTAAACTGGTTGCCTGTTATCATAAATGTTATCTGCCCTCTCTTTGTTTTTCTTCTTCTACTCTCGCCCCCCGCCCCCTCACCTCTCCGAGGGTTTCTCCAGAATTATTTCCGACAGGTGCGGCGTAACCCGGCCAAATTTTAAATACCTCTACGCAAGTAAATTGCGGATCTTTTGGTCTGTAAAATTAGACGTGTCTTTCAAAATCACTGACCTATGGCAGGTTGAAGTCAGGCCATGCCTGAGAGCGAGAACTATTTTTAATGAAACCACTCAACCTGATGCGACAAGAAGGTGTTGTACAAAGCCATACATTCCTGAGATGATTTCTTAGAGAATTAGGCAACTAAATTTAGGAGTGCAACGAATCGGTGCATTGTGGTATTCAATCGGCCACCCTGGCGAGTGTTCAGGCTGATTCAGCCAAGCCGTTCGAGTCGTCATGTCTGACAGAAATCCGCCTCAGGCCGCTCTGGTAGATAACCCCCTCCTGACATTCGCGTGGCTCGCGCGCAACGCAGCGAAGTTTGCCTGCGGTGAAGGTGAAGGGTTTGTGGTCAAGGTAGATCGGCTGCAGCATGAACCCAAAGCTATGTCACCGAAGCGGTTACTAAATTGTTTGCACGGTCCATAGCCGCTCTAACCAAGTCGATGACGCCGACTGTTATGCGTACTTCCTCGCCACGCTGCTTACTTCGAGCTCAGACTTACGTAGTATCTAACTGCTCGTGATTATTTTGTTTATCACCGTTGTGTCTTATTCATCCCATCTATGCCGTGATATCCACTCCTCTTCTTGTCTGCTTGAGGTCTTGGCTGTTTTGACAGGGCTATTGTAAAAACTTCTTTCTCAGCCCGCCCACTGAGCGCATGTTCAGAATCGTATTCGTGAATTGGATGCCTCCGCGAACTGGAAAGCCGGCGGGCGTCCACACCACACGGGTATGTCCATGGATTGAGCATAAAGTACACCAAGTATGCTGCCTTATGCTGCATCATCAAATGTGTTGCATTGTTTAAGACTTTTGGCTTACAAACCTATCGGTAGTGGTAGTATGCATCAAAAAGACATTTAATTTTTGTGAATTTTGTTTACGCATGCGACGATTATGCGTATCAACTAAAATGCATGTTGTCAGGAATGCCCTTAAGAACAACAGCATGCTTGCTAAATGAGATCAACATGTTGAGCGCACAGAGCACAAGCCGATCCCATCCTCATTATCTTTAACGCAATGATGTGTATGTGCATTACAGCTGACCATCCATATCCTTTTTGCAGGCATCCGTAGAACGTTCAGTTAAACACTGTATTGTATTTGGAAACAGCCAGCACTATACCATGGGCGTGAGTTACAATATAGTATCGGCAAACTATGCTATTTCCGAGGCAAGTAAGTCGCATGTCGCCAAGAAATGTTTTCTAAATGGTATTACTAGCCGGAAACGGGACTGGTGAAATTCATAGGTTAGCAAAAGAGTGTGGTTTGACGTGGCTTATCACGTATCCATCCATCTACTTATCATGCTTTGGATCATGATATCATGGTGGGTGTGGTATGCATAGACGCGGCGTTAATTTTGTTCTCTGCCTTTTGGATTCGCAGTGGCGACTCTCATGCAAGATTGTTAACAACATCCGCATGAAGTTGATATACATAACGGCAATGAAAGCTTTTTCTAAGAAAGTTTTACAAAGACCATTGTATTCCCGCCGTTGGTGTCCGGAATTATTGAAGCACATCATCAGGATATGGTAACACAAGTGCAATTTGATAGTCGCTAAAAGGTCATACAGATTACCAACCAAAAGCTTGGGTGTTCACCAAGTACATAAAAGTCATAAAAGTAAACCACGGGAGCTCCTTCGCAACAACGTCCATAAAATCGTTCACCCAAAAATAGTCTGACGCAACATCAAATACCCCAAATTGTTCGCCCTAATGCTGAGTGCCAGCAAATCGCTCACTCCTAAAATCGCCGGCATTTTGCCGGACAGCTTTCAGGTAGCTCATTTTGTGAGGCACGGTATGGTACCTGCGCTACCACGCATGCGTCCGTTGAACACTTAAGCCGGTTCGGTCAAGTTTATATCTATGCTGACTGTTATACATTAACCAGTTAGGCGGCCGCATCGGACACGCTAAAGAACACGCCGACATAAGACCCGAAAAGGAGTACCGAACGCGAATGTAAACCATCAGTACTAGTATATCGGAGATAGCGATGGTTGTCACAAAACGTATACATTGATTGCTGAAAGATAGCTTGTTAAATTTTACGTATCAAACTCATGCCTGCGCTTATCAAAGTTATGCTATCAGATGATCATTCGCTAGCCGGTTCATTGATTAGAGGCATCATGTCAAGCTCAGAACCCATTTCGAATGCCACTATTCAGCATGTATAGATGCCTGATGCATCTGGCGGCGGGTGGGTACGCGGATAAGTGGCGGAGACGATGGGCTATGTAGCCGCCATCCGCTAAGATCTACACGCAAGTGATGCTCTGATTGGGCCCACCGCACACACGGGCCAGGATGCGTCGCATCGAGTCCCGACGCAGTCTCTGTTCGGCCAGTGCGACTCGGAACCGATGAGCGAATCTCTGTCCTCGTTTCCTGAGCGCTTGGGGCAGGTGGGGGCAGAAGTCGATACAAGCCTTCATGGGGATAAGCGGGCTGAGCTCCTTGCGCTGTAAAACGGCTTTCCGTTAATTTGGTAAGCATCTGCTTGCGGCAGCTGTCCGCTTTCGGCCTGGTGCGGATTTAATGTGACAGCCATGATATACGCTGGAACATCAAATCCAACCATAAACCGATTACGCGTCAGACAGAGGGGTGGAACCAGAGACCCGACATCAGTCAAATGTAAATTCCTCAGGCTGCGGCGGGCTGCGCCCCCACGGATGCATCTCGCACGCACTGGCACTGCGGCGTAATGAGCGAGCTCTACATATCGCCGCCCCCGAGCGACGAAGCGCGCGTTTGGGGCGTGCCTGATTCCTCCCCCACCGCCGCATCTCACCGCGGCCCGCCACGCCGCCCGGCTGGCGCTAGTTGCGCGCACGGCCGCGGGTCGGCGCCAGCGTCGGCGGTGCGGTACCGACTCGGCCACCGCCGCGGCGAGAGGCGGCAGTGTGTCGGCGGCGTGTGTGAGGGGGGTGTTGCTCAGGTCTCCAGGCGCGGCTTGTGATGTGCGACGTCACCACCGACTGACGCCGGACGTCACTCGTGACGCGATCAGCGCGACAGGCGTGACGTTCTCGGCCGGACCATGAGCGGCCGGCGCGCCGGCGTCATGTGGACCGTATTGTGCAGCGTGCTGATTACGCTGGTCGAGACAAGCTCCGGGGCGCCGCTAGGTGAGGATCCCCGATGAGATCTGCGCGATGTGCACTGACCTTTTCATCTAAAGGACCATGGAGGGTCACTGGTACCGCTGGTATCGCAATGTGCGTTCTACGCAGCCTTCCACTGCCCGCGAAGGACCACAACGTTCGACACCTAAATGAGCATGCCTACCCTGTCACGTTAAACTCTGCGGTAACGTTTCTTCACGCACGAACTGCTGCCGTCTGTCCGTGTGCCCCGTTTGGAGTGAACTCGCAGACAGCGAACTTTGTGTCGTTTGCATGGGTACGAACTGGATGGCAGGGGCTGATTGGGGGATCTTACTATGAGAACGGTCAATGGATTCTCAAGCTTGCACCTCCAATAACGTGGGAGATGTCTTGTCGGGTACAAAACAGGCCAACAAGCCTGTGTATGAGCTTGGAAGCTTTGCTGCCTGGGTTGGATAGCAAGGAACGCCTCGCATTTCTCCGAATAGGATGGTATTGTGCTCTGATGCGATTTAATCATGCCTCCTTATCATCGATACCAGGCATGCGTGTAATTGAAATCGGATTGAGATTGGATCTGTTATGATGCGCGCGAGGCTGCCATCTAGCAAAGGTAGTCAACACTGGCCCACCCAGGTGGCAAACGCTGTCGGTATAAGACGTAAGCCATGATTTGGTACAACGTGGCATGATTGCCATAGTCGACAAAACGCGTGGCGTTAGCAACCGCGAGATAGCTGAGGTGACTGATTCCATGGCCGAAACGTACTGGAACACGCTGAAAGGCTGAAGAAGACACGTGTGGGGTAAAAGCTAAGAGATCCTGGGAGGCCCTGCAAATATATCCTTGCAATGAATTAGGAGAAACTTGGATATTCTCGTGCACTTTTTTCTTGCATGCATGTTTCAACCGAGGCAGTGCTGTTGTGCCGGTTGTACAGTTTTCAACCCATACGTGGCTTATTAGTTCTCTAAAAAAAATTCCCAGAAACAATTACGTTTCTGACACTTCATGGCAACGTGGCTGGAGCGTTGTTGCGCGGTAATTTGGTTATAAAACAAGCTTATTTTCGGCAAAGATTTCCAGGACACGGAACTGAAGTGTGTATGCTGAAATTGACTATCACTGCGAATCGCATATTTTACTATTCGCCGAAGTCTATATAAAGTGCAAACAGTTTGCATGCCTGTAATTTTTGTTCATGCGTTGGCTCCATCATCGCGAGTTCGGTCGCCGTCGGGCTGCTGTCGTTGACTGACGTGTAAATCGTACTCGGCTGTGAAGAGATTTAGTAACGAAAGATAGCTACAGTGTCGCTACAGCTTTATTTAAGAAGACGATGAAGCTTCTACAGGGTAGTTCTCTTGTAGAAGAACTTTTTCGGAGTCTTCAGTTTTGCCTCACCCGACTTATGTTTCTAAAACTAAGTCGTAGATTCAGTGTTTTTTAGTGGTAGTCGTAGTCGTAGATTCCGTGTCTTTTACCTGCGCTGAATTTCCGATCGCTTCGTCCAGATGGCTAGCTTACTGAACAGTTGCCCTAAAATCGACGGTTCCGGCTTTGCCCCCACTCGGAAGGCCCGACGTTCCCCTCCCGTACGTACTTTAAACTGGTTGTGGTAGAGCGTTTTGGTTTGCGACGTCTAAAGCAAGGTATTGAATTTTGTATTTGTTGTTTTTTTTAACCATTCATCAGCAAGATTGCGGACTGCGCTCTTTAGATTCGAGTACAGATCAAAGCTACGCTGAATGATTGGCTCCTATTGTGAAATGGAAGTTGTCTCCCTGAGGTTGTCGGAAGGCTCGCTGTCAAGTCGTTAAGAACCAAGCTGAGCTGAACTGCGGAACATCTGCGCAGACTTGGCGGGAATCCATCGTTGAACTTGTTTGAAGTGCCTCATTTGGATATTCATGACTTTGAAATCAATCACGTCCGAGTGCATCCTCACCCACGGAAAAACACTAACCGCTCTCTCCCTCCCTCCCTCTCTCTCTCTCTCTATCGCTCTCGTACCCCTCTCTTCTCTCTCTCTCTCTCTCTCTCTCTCTCTCTCTCTCTCTCTCTCCTCTCTCTCTCTTCTCTCTCTCTCTCTCTCTCCTCTCTCTCTCCTCTCTCTTCTCTCTTCCTCTCTCTCTCTCTACTCTCTCTCTCTCTCTCTACTCTCTCTCTCTCTCTCTCTCTCTACCTCCCGTCTCGCTCTCTCTCTCTCCTCTTCCTCTTCTTTTCGTCTCCCTCTCTCTCCCTTCTATCTCTCTTCTTCTCTCTCTCTCTCTCTCTCTCTCTCTCTCTTCTCTCTCTCTCTCCTCTCCTCTCTCTCTCTCTCTCTCTCTCTCTCTCTCTCTCTTTCTCCTACAAGACCATCTTTTCTCAACATCGAATTTTGAGCTGTCGTGAGGGAAACCGCTCGTCTAATTCGGCCGGCGGTCAAGTTTTCACCGCGCGGCCATCTGCCGAGCGCGGCCGAGTGGCCGGGCGGCGGCGCCGGGGAGACTGCACGGCCACAGCCCCCCGGACGCGCTCGCCATGCCCCGTCATCGACCGCGCGTCCGTGGTGTCGCTGATGTGTCGCCGGGCCGATAGTGTGAGCGAGCCCGCCGTCGACGGGTGTCGACGCCGACGACGTCACGTGCGTCGGACGCGCCCGTCCGTGAGCAGCGCCGGCCGGGATTGCGGCCCCGCCGGACCCTCCGTCCGGCCGGCACGTCGGCGGCGGGCACGTGCGACGCCCGTCCGGCCTGGACAGTCCGGCGGCGAGGCGGTGGCGGCGTCGGCCGCGCCCGTTCGGCGCCGTTTACTGCCGGCGCCGTCGCGTCGTGCGGCGTTGGACGCGGCGTGGGGTCGTGTGGGACGACCTGCTGTTGATCTCGAGTGGCCACGGCGCTGGGCGCCGCTAGGGTCCGATTTACGACCGACACCAGACTGCCGGGGCCACCGCAGATGACCTCCGTCACACGCGGGGCACGCGGCTATAGGCGCCGCTTCTGAAACGGCCGCCGGAAAATGTGTATGGTCTGGAATGGAAATGAGGTCTTTTCCACACCAGTGAACAAACGAGCTCTTGAGCCGCAAGAGCGTTGCTCGTACATGATTGCTTTGCGTGGCAGTCAGGGTAGGTGGCTTGTGTCACCGTTAGTGACCAGCCTTCCGTGACCGATGGCAGTGCCTCGGTGTCGTGGGAGCCGTCGCACCGATCCGCCCTCCCGAGTGGCCGCTGCCGGACGGACAGCTCGCGGGCTGTGATGCGCTCGTGAAGCGTCTCTTCGGCCAGCACGCGTGGCCGGCGTGATGTATGGCTGCCCAGCCGCGGGGTCGCCTCGTGCTGACCTCGGTGAAAGTGAATTCCCCGGGTTGGGTCAACAGCGCCCGTGGAGCGCGCCGCGGGCGGTCCGGTCCGGCCAGGCCACCAGGCGCGAACGTCATCAGCAGGGCGTCACCTGGAGAAAGTGATACAGCACCGCCCTCGGTCCAGCCCGCACAAATTACCTGTCCTCCTGCGTGTGCGTGACCTGGGAAGGCCACCTGGCGTTAATCGACGGCCAAGAGTGGCGCGAAGTACCACGTGCTCTACCGCCAACGATCTGGAGATTAACTAGGTAACCTGGTGGTCGTGCGTCACAACAGCGCCTCGGCGAAGCTGCTTGGCCCGTTTTACAGTGATCTGTGCGGTCCCATGGCACTGGCACGCGACAGGCACTAGTCCATGTCTGAAAACGGAACTGTGTAATGACGCGGCGTTTCAAATGAAAGGCCCTCTCGGATGCTTTTGAAGGGAATGTGTGGCTGCACATGTGCACCTGGTGATCGGAGAACGATAAGGTTTGGTTCAGATCCGTCCGGCGCACGGCGGCCCGCTTCACCTTGTGCTTTTGCAACGCGATTGCATTGCCAAGCTTTTGATAAACCTGCTGTATGCTGCCACAGCACAGTGTGACTTATTGGCTTTTCAGTCCGTGGGCCACGGACTTCTTTAAACGACACCCATCATTAAGAACATATGGACTTAATTATCTCTGATCTGCCCGTCGTCGGGCGACAGTTGCCTTAGCGTACTAGCCCAGATCTCGGCACTCAACCACTGCACTGAAAGCAAGCGGCTGTGAGCAGCTCGTCAGGATCTGATCTGGCTGGCTGGGTACAAACGGAGGCTGACGCCCGAAAGTTCCGACTCGGCAGCGACGCCAGATCTGAGAGGACGCGTGGACATAAGTTCGGGAAACAAAACGCCCGTGTTTAGCAATAAGTTCCCAATAAAACAGACGGAACCTCGGCAAATCAACGTCGGCACCAGTATTTTAAGCATGATCAGGCCGCGGGAATGCTTCTCAGGCCGCCTGAGTTATCGCCGGCCGCCGGTTACGTCGCGGCGCGTCCTCGGTGGGAGCCGCTACCCCTTGCCTCGCTCGGTGAGAAGTTCCCATTAGTCGCGACTGGCCGCGGGGCCTGCCAGGCCATTATTCGGATCACACGGGCCCTGGCGGTGGCGGCGCCGCCGACTCAGCCGTCACCACTTCCGTGCGACTGGACGTCCGGATGGGAAAATAATCGCGCCGCGTCGAGTAAATACCGACACGAGGCGTGTGCGGACCGAGCGGCGCGGGCCTCGGGCGGCACTGTCGAGCACCGCTAGCCGGGCACGCACTGCTGTCCTCGTCCGCACATCAGGCGCCACGGCCTGGACGGGCACGCTTGGAGTCGGGGCAATGTCCCTTGGAGTCAATGTCCCCTGGGGTAGGACCGTGTCCCATAGAGTCGGGACAGTACCTCTTCGAGTCGAGACACTCTGCATCGGAAACGGACCTTGTCCGGATGATCTCTTCTGAAGTTAGCATCCAAGCCTCCGTTACAAAGTGAGGCATATCTCCCGAGGAGCGGAGGAATCCTCCTTGGAGACCGGCAAGCACCTTGGACAGGAGCGCCGGACGCGTGCGATGGGCGATTATCCGAGCGGCAGCGGATGAATCCGATCATATTGCTGCCAGTTGTCGAGGGTGGCGGTCCTCGACTTGTTGACACCGACGAC